CACTCTGGCTGGTAGAGCTCAGTGGTCTCCGATAGCAGTGAGGTTAGCCCAGAGCTGCAGAGCAATATTTTTTTAGCAGTTGTCCTAGTGAATGACCACAGGTGGTTCTAGTGAGCTGGGAAGAAGATGTATACTATGTGCTTGGTCTGTAATTTTAGGGGTCTTGCTCAAGTTGTACCTGAATCCCTCTTCATCCATTTGGTATTTTATTAATTGTTAATTGATGTAGGAGGGCCCAGCCCACTGTCGACAGTACCATCCCTGTCAGATGGGCCTGTGTAGTGACCCACCTTGTCCTTTAATAGCACTCTGCTCACTAATAGTTAACAGGCTCCTGTCACTTACTAAGAGTTAACGAACTTCTTTGGACTTTGTTGATGTAGAGGCTTGAGGAGGGGGCAGTCTGCTCCCAGGATGCTGGGAAGAAGATCAGACAGTTGTCCCTGGAATGCCAGGTACTTTCTTACCATTATGATGGGAGAGTTCCTATGTGTTTTGCACTGCTTGAATACTTATCATGTGTAAACTCTGTGTGAACTTCAAAAACCGAGCTTCCAATAAAAGTTCTCAGGACACAGTGAAATTGCTCCTGAGCAGCATAGCCAGGAGACCCCTGGTCTAATCTCATTTTTTAACATTGGCCAAGCAGGGAGGCTACACTGTAGCAGGAGCATTATAGGTCTGGGCTGTATAAGAAAGATAACTGAGCAAGCTGGGGGTGCAGCAAGCCAGTAAGTAGTATTCCCCTTTGGTTCCTGCTTTAGTTCCTGCCTCCAGGTACCTACTTAGGCTCCTGCCTTGGCTTCCCTTGTTGATAGACTATATAACCTATAGAGTGTAATAAACCTCTTCCTCCTCAGGTTGCCTTTGGTCAGTGTTTTATCAAAGCACAGAGAAGTAAACTAGAACACTCCAATAAGACTCAAACGTAAGGAATTCCTCAAACTCGTGAGGGAGTTCAGATGCTGGGAAGCCTAACATCACCACTGGCATCCCCTGGATGAGGTTTTTAGAGAGTAAACAAGCTGACACACATAGTATCTAACACAGCACCTGGCACCTAGTCTACGCTATTTCCCAGAGTGCTCCTGATTAACAGACAGGACTGAGCCATGAAGATGGGCATGGTGAATATATAGTTAAACTCGGAATTAGGATGCTTGATTTAAATCAAAGTTTAATGGGCTAGGAAAGATGATATTAAATCATTACCTCCTAATGTTTAAAAAAATGTCTATTTTTGGTAGAAGCTTTGATATTTTAATCGAAAAGAGTATGAATATTCAATCCTCTCCCTCCAAAAAGTTCTTTAATAAAACCAGCTTAAAATGTTTTTATGAAAGCTGGTTCTTGATATAAAAATGGAGTAAAAAGAAATTAAAGTTTGAATTCACTTTTATGTTTAGAAGTTGTTAGATGGGGCCTACATTGAATTGATTTCTCGTAGGACATTAACTTGTTCCTACTTGCTACTCTACCTGCATGCCACATGATTGGTTTGGACTTGTAAATATGCATAAAAAGTTCAGCAGAGCTGGGGTGTGGTGGCAAATACCTTTAACCTTAGCACTCAGGAGGCAGAGGCAGATTGAAACCATCCTGGTCTACATAGCAAGTTCCAGTCAGGCTGGGGCTACAGGGAGACCCTGTTTCAAGGGGGAAAAAAAGTTCAGCAGAAATTTAAAAAATACTATTTTATATTCCTAGATGAATTTGAATGAAATTATGAGTGAATTTTTCTAGTCACAAGCTGCATTGAAATAAGATGTCCCAGAGGCATACTTTTAGTTAGAAATATTATCTGCTGGCTTCTATGAACAACGAAAGAATGTCACCACTCGAGGTTTACGTGGCAACACTGTGATTCCTTCCTCCATGAACACAGTCATTAATCTAGTCATCACGTTTGCTGAGTTCCCAGCATGTCTTAGGTATCACATCACGCCATGAAAACACAGTGATGGTCCCTGTACTTAAGTTGTTCCCAGAACACAGGGTAAGAAAGATATATAAACAATTGTAACATATTGTGACAAGGATGGTAGTGTATACAAAGAAAAGTGGTGGCTTAAAGGAGAAAGTAGCTAAGTATAACAGAGAGAAGACCAGCCTAATCTAGACGGATACTGAAGGGGTTCCCTAGGAGGAGATGTTCCCCAGGGGGAGGCATGGCGTTGTGCACTGGCAGGAAGGCAGGTAATGTCCCACGTTTTGGGGAACTACAGAAAGCTGGACATATATGGTGAGAGGAAGGGAGGCAGAAGCTGGTGTGTGGGGGAGCAGGTATGGGGGTCTCTAATGCCATGCTGAGGCATTGACACTGAATCCACAAGTTCTAGAGAGCACAGACTGGCTTTGGAAAGGGAAAGTTGAGATGTAGAACAGATATTGGGAAGGGAATCAGAAAGGAATGAGCAATCAGTTGAGTGTCAGCTGTGAGCTTCCTTACTCTTTCGTCCCCTCACCTGTCCTCTTCTCCTCTGACTGGCAGTCCCAAGTCACCAACTAGAAGAAGAGCTGCCCGACCCATATTGTGCTGTTAGACTCAAGAGTTAGCTCACTCAAGATGCAGCCTGCCTTTTCTGTTGCCAAATTGTAGAAATTTCTTATTATACTCTGAGGATTTGTTGCTGAGTTATCAAGCCTAGCTCTGGATAATTTCAAATTTATGAAGTATTTTGACAGTGACTATTATATAGAGAACAACATAGTTTCTGCCATTTTTAAAAAGAAATCTTTATTTTTTATTTCTTTATCTGTATGAGTGTATTGCCTGCATGTATGTAAGTGCACTGCCCTGGGAGGTCAGAAAAGGGCATCAGATCTCCTGGAAATAGAGTTATGGACAGTTATTAGCTGCCATGTGGGTGCTGGGAACTGAACCTTGGTCCTCTGCAAGAGCAGCCAGTGCTCTTAACCTCTGAGTCATCTCTCCAGCCCCAGTTTTGGCCATCTTTGTTAAAAGCGGTTTCCACGCTTTCTGGAGTCCATGTTTACAGATGGGGGCCAGAAGGAAGTAGAGTTTCAGTGTCTCCCGCTCCTCTGAACTGCACCTTCCAGGTTTGGCTGTCATGTTACCTGTAACTTGTTTGAACACTGTGCCAGTTCTTTGCAGTCACACAAAAAACTTCTGGCACCTAATATGTTCCAGGTCCATTAACAAAGTTTTATATTGTACCTGCAACTGTGGATGTTTTTTCTGGTGCTGTGATGAGCATCAAAGAGAGATGGTCTGTACCCTGAAACTTACACAGTGCTGATGGAGGCAGATAAGGGAAATTTCAGCAAAAGGCCTGGGAATTATAGGGAAGAACAGGATATTTTGAGAGCAACCAGAGAGAGCACAGAACTGGAACTGGGAAATTTGGAATGGCTTTGTGGAGGAAGTGACTCTTTTCTTTCTGTCAGTGCTGGGTTTCAAACCCAGGGGTCTGCACATGCTAGGCAAGCACTGTGTCACTGGGCTACAAGCCCATAGGGATGACATTTAAGCAGATATTTCAGGGTTCAATCAGTCAGTTGATGATTAGTGGATAGTGTTCCAGAAAGTGTGCAAAGACTAGAAGAGAGAGAACATGAAGGAGCTGAAAGAAGTTCTGTGGACTGCAAGAAGAGAGCGCAGAGAATCTGGGGTCTGATGATGAAAAGGGACTTGCAAGCTGTGTCCAGGAGGGTGTCTTTGATTACAGTGCTGCAAAAGGAAAAGCTGAGCCAAGGGTTTAAAGCGTTTACTTATTTATTTACTATTTAGTTATATGCATATATTAGTTGCAGACAGGGGTATCACTATGTTTCCTAGCCTGGCCTTGAACTCCTGGATCAAATGATCCTCCTCCTTCAGCCAAGTAGCTGGGACCACAAGACTATGTCACTGCTTGGTTCTAGTAGTTTATTTGAAAAGTAATTCTCAATAAATGCAGTAGTAGATTAGGAAAGGGAAGAAAGTCCATAAAAGCTGTGTTAACAGGTTGCTGCTCTGAGTACCTGAAGCCCAGTCATACTACAAACCAGCTGAGCGACTGCGTGACACATGCCTCTGAGGAGTGAGGCTGAGCTGAAGAAGGCATTGGTCCCACACTCTCATTCCTCACTGGTTGGGGCTGCTCCTGTGGCCTTCATTCCCTGGCCTTACTGGCCTACCTTGAGCTCCTGAGAGAATACCCTCAGGCAGAGGGGCACAGCAAGCTGCTGTGTAAGGGAGCGGTGGGCAGGCAATAGCCAGGGCAGACATGGGGACAGGGCACTGGCAACATGTTCTGGAAGACAGGCTTTGTCCTAAGGATGACAGAATCAATTGTAACACATTCAGGAATGCATTTCAGAAAGCTCAGGTTGGCCCAATGGACAGGAGTAACTGGGATTGGGACAGAACAAAGGAGGTGAATAAATCAGGATTTGTTTTTAATAGAATTTCTACTTAAGTCTCTATGAATTGTCCTGTTTGAAACAAAGACCCTGGGGTCAGCTCTGTCATCTGTCTAGAGAGGTAGTATGGGAAGGGGGAGGATACTCTATTTCTATGATGAGTTTGAGAAGGTTGTGGAACATGCAAGGACGGCTGTCACTATGGTGATGCTGATGGAAATGGTTTGGGTTGACGGCCAGCGAGATTATTCGAGGAGAGATTCGAAGTGGGAAGCAAAGAGGGCCCATGCATTGCCACTGAGAAACCCAACATATAAGGAAGAAAAAGAGAGGCGAACAGGAAGACTACGAATAAACTTGAGAGTCAGGAGGAAAATCAGCAGAGTGAGATGCTCTGGAACCCAGAGAGTGCTGTAAAACAAGGAATGACCAACCAGGAGGGAACTTGCAGATGACCAGATCAGATAAATACAAAAAACTGCTGAAGAATGCTTGAAAGTTTGAGGGAAAGCAGGTCAGAAAAAACTGAGAAAGAGGAGAGAGAAAATGGAGATAGAAAATAAGGTCAGTTCCTTCAGGAAATCTGTGGCTATGAGTTTGAACGATTATCTTTTCTTTTAATGAAGAAGACTTACCAATAACTGTCGATGGGAGTATACTGAGTGACCTGGTGCAGGGAGTGATGGATCTAGAAAGAGTGAACAGTTGGTGGAGAGAAATCTTTTAGAAGGCAGGGAGGAAGTGAGAGCCAGAGCTCCAGGGAGGGACTGACCTTAAAGGGGATGAGCCGTGCCTGGTCATTTTAATAGGAGAAAGCAGGAAGGGACAAGTGAAGGTTCTGTTTCAAGCCATTCAATCCCTACAGAACTCGGGTGGATATTGTCTCTCCTCATTTGCCTGTTACTTAGCAATGTACAAAAGTTAGGTAACTTGCTTAGGGGAACTTAGGCCTGGCCCAAGGTCAATATCCATTTACCTGCGGTCTTTTCAGAGCACAAGTCCTCCGTAGGAAGTGTCCTGAAACAGAAATGCCATTGGGTTCTTGGTTTATGATTTGATAAGCCCCAAAGCAAAGAGTTTCTACCAGAGCCAGTGCACAGTGCCATTGGGTAGAGACTTAGGAGAAGAGTCCGCCTTTCATTAATGTTTGACCAGCTCAGTACCAAAGGTTTGACTTTTCTTCCCGAGGGGAGACCTTCCTGGAACGAGCAGACTGCTCTTCTGTGTGTGTGTGTGTGGCAAATTCTATATCATTACCTTGTACTCCTCCCAACAGCCCTGCCAGGTGGATATCATTGTCTGTGTTACAGACAAGAAATTGGAAGCTCAAAGAGGTCAAGAATCTTGCCCAAGGCCACAGAAGAGGTGGTGAAGCAAGAATTTGAACTAAAGCCACTCTGACTGCAAAAGCCCGTGCCTTGTCCACAAAGCATTGTTCCAGGCAGCTTGGGGACAGGAAGGGACCTGCTGTTTGGAGGATGGATTATTATGCTTTATAATAGTTCCTGGCATCAAATCCACTTCCCAGGATTTCATCTTTCTTCCTTCAACCTTCTGAACCTAAACTTAGAGAGCTGCGGGGCTAATTACAGCAAATATTTATATCGTGCCAACCAGTGTTCTAGGTGCAAGAAGGCTAACGACCTAATCCTAGAGCAACCCTATGAGGCAGGCTCTATCATCTCCATTTATAGTGGAAAAGAAGGCACAGAGAGGCTGAGTAACTTGCTCAAGTTACACAGCCTTCAAGTCTCACAGCCACTCAGACTCTGGCTCCTGAGTCTGGATTCCTAAGTGATTACTATGCTGTTGGGTCTCAGGCAGGGACTGTTGAATCTTGGAAAAGGAAAGTGACCAGACTTGATTCTCAAATTTGATTTCTGGGTCTCAATAGTTACTTGGCTAAAGGCATAGAGTTTGGAGTTAGGTCTTGGTGTGAATCATAGATCTATCACTTAAACAGTTGTGTGGTCTTGGACAGAGTTCTTAAAGTTCTCCGCAGCTAGTTTGTTCTGCAGGAATGTGGAGATAATAAAAATGCTTTTCCTCTGAGAAGATTAGAGGAGGAGAGTGCTCAGAGCTCAGTAGCATAGCTGGCTTGTTGGCTGTTTCCTTTTTAAATGCATGTATCTGTATGTGTATGTGGTATATGCATGTGTGTGTGTGTGTGTGTGTGTGTGTGTGTGTGCCACGTGCACGTGTATGGGAGCCAGTGGAGGACTTTGGGTGTCCTCCTCTATTGCTCTCTGCCTTGTTCCCTTAAGACAACATCTCTTCCTGAGCCTGGAGCTTGCCTTTTTTTTTGGTTAACTTGGTGGCTAGCAAGCCTCAGCAGTCCTCTCTCTGTAGCCCTCTCCTTCATCCCCATCCTAGCAGCATTACGGTTCCAGGTGTGTGCATCCACGCTTGGCTTTTTGTGGGAGTGCTAGAGACTGAAACTCAAGTTCTCATGCTTGAAGGCAAGCATGCTTTCCCACAGAGCCATCTCCCCAACCCCAGATGTTTCCTAGTCTTAAAAGCATGCCCTAAAGACCATCCTCAGCAAGACTGGGGCACAGGTCTGCTTGACTTCAGAGCCCCAAAACTAAACCACTGTATGAACTGTGTCCCACACACCCACTTCACAGCCCCGGACATCTTTCTTCCTTTCTTAAGCTTCCTTGATGCTATCAGTGGGGTGGTCAGTCTTTGCCCATTCACGTGTCTTTGGCATTGCCCCCTTTCCATCTCCTTGTGATGAGTGGTCAGTGCTTAGGAGGTAGCATCAGGACAAGGCTGGAGGATGGAGACTGTGACACAGGGACCTGAAGCTGAAGTCTGTCTGTGAGGCACAGGTGGAGATCACAGAAATCGTCAGGATCACACAGCTGGCCCCCCAACGCTGCCAACAGATCCCAACAGGGAACATGCAGAGTTAGTGCCAGGTCAAAGTGAGAAGGACTTGGCAGACAAATCCTGCAGGTAATGACTCATTACTAGTCATTATAGGATTTTTTTTGGAATTCTGCCACCCCAACCTCCAGTCTCGTGCTTAAGCTTGCATAGATTTTTTTTTTTTTTTTGTGATAGGGTCTCCTTGTAGCCCTAGCTGGCCTGAAACTCACTTTGTAGACCAGGCTGACCTCGATCTCACAAAGATCTGCCTGCCTCTGCCTTCCAAGTGCTGGGATTGAAGGTGTGGGCCACCATGCCTGGCTTACGTAGATTTTTAAGGTGCATTTAATACTTGTATTTTATATTCAATTTTTCAGTCATTGCATTCCATCACCTTTTAAAACTTCTTTATACAAATTTTTAATGCACTAAGATAAAATTTAACACTTTAACCATTTTTAAGCATACAGTTTAGTGGCATTAAGTACATTACCTTTGTGCAACTGAGCTCCTGAGCTCTAATCATCTTGCAAAACCGAAACTCTGTGCTCATTAGAATACAACCCCTCATTCGTCCCACTCTTGGTCCTTGGTAACCACCATGCTAGTCCCTGAGTTTGGCAGTGCCAGCTGCAGCGTGTTCAGTCATTCAGCATTTGTCTTTTGGTGACTGACTTATTTTTCTTAGCACAATGTCTTCAAGGATCATCTGTGTTATAATGTGCATTGGAATTCTGTTCTTTTTATGACTAAATTGAACTTCTTTTGTGTCCTGGGCTTTCCATCTGTGACCTGAGAATACTACTTAGAGGTTTTTAGGGAGAATCAATGTTAAGGAGCGATATCATGACCTTTAGCATATAAATTAAGGGTAAACTTAATTTATATGGTCCTAAGGTGAAGCAGGGGGCATACTTCAGTGTAGGAATAAAGAGGGTAGAGGCTGGGAGGATGGGAGCTGACCCATGAGACAATGAAGAGTCCAGAGAAGTGAGGTAGATGGCAGGAGATGCTAGAAGCTTGCCTTCCGGGGCTGATTGCACAGCGTGAGGCAAGCTTGGCCACCTCCAAAGTGTTTGCTTTTATTCCTTTTCTTTGGAACCCCATGTTTTATGTGGAAGCTCTGTTTGTTTTCATATAAAACTACTCCAAATGACATCATCAAGTAAACCGGGTGGTCCAGGAAAATGCTCCCTTTCCACGATGTAACTTGAGTGAACCATCACTGCCCCTCCCTCACCTACCACCTCTGGCCACCCTGTGCAAAGCACAGGCTCGGGAACCTCGGAGATGAGATATTTTACATCTTCCTCTCTCACATCCTGGCTTTAGAACTCTAGTCCAGACTTACTTGGATTATTACACTTGGATTATTACCACATACATTTAAAACCTTAAAAAAAAAAAACGTTAAGATAACAGGCATGGTAGCACACACCTTTAATCCCAGCACTCAGGAGGCAGAGGCAGGCAGATCTCTTTATTTTGATATATCACAGTGAAAGATTTATCGTCCTCTTTTTTTTTTTTTTTTTTTTTTTTTTTAAAAAAAAAAAAAAAAAAAAAAAAAAAAAAAAGAAGATAATTGTTAAAACAATACATGTTCATTAAGAACAGGAAAGTTTTTAAAAATATAAGTCCAAGGCTGGGGAGGTCATAGGCTCTAGGGCAGAACCTGCTATTGTTATTTTGCTAAATGGTCATGTTGTTAAATTGCTATCTAAATGTTTGTGCTTATACCCATAGACCTGGGCTGCTCTCAACCTTGGTCAGAGAAGCTTCTTTTTGCAGTGAACAACAGTCAATGCAGAGATTCATAGCTGGTCAAAGTGCTGAGAATAAGAGACTGAGTGCTCAGCTCTAAATGGGACCTCTTTGTCAACTCGCCTCCCTACACCAAGGCTCAGGGAACGTGGAGGAATTAGAGGCTGAAAGGATGTGAGAGGAGAGAATGGAAAGGAGAGCTGTGCAATGCTGACTCCTGGATAGGACGTGGTTCTGCGCTCATGAACTCACACCAGCTGTGGTTATCTGTACACGATCTGCCCAAGATCAAGCCAGCCAAACTTCCCACACAGATAGGAGAGGTGCTCTCCAGGTCCCATTCCTCACTGAAGCGTTAATGGCAGTTGATAGCTGCTGGGGGGGGGGGAGAATCATTCTTTTTTGAGGGTATGATCATTAGTATGTTTCCCATACGCAAGTGGATGGACACTCACGTACATATGGGCAGAACTAATTTGAGTTAATGAGTTATAAAGGAGAAGAGGAGGAGGAGGAGGAGGACCAAGAGGAGGAAGACGTGAAGTTTGAAGGGGGATGTGTTGCAGGAGATGTGAGTAGGAATTGGAGGGGGTAAATGGGAGGTGGATATGATCATATTTTATTGTACACATGTATGAAATTCTCAAAGAATTAAAACTTTAATAAAATCTATACAAAAGCTATGAATTATGTTTAAAAATATAACTATTAACTTTTTATATATATGGTTTCAATTTCTTAAAAAGTTTATTTATTTATATTTATGTGTATGTGTATTTCTACGTATGTGTGTGCCTGGTGCCTGCAGAACCAGAAGAGGGAGTTGGATCTCCTGGAACTGGAGTTCGAGGTGGTTGTGAGCCACCTTATGTGGGTCCTGGGAACTAAACTTGGGTCTTCTGCAAGAGCAGCCAGTGCTCTTAGGCACCGAGTCATGTCTCTAGCCCCTGGTTTCAAATTCTAATGATATGTAAGAACGTAGAAATGCTCTCCTCCTTCTCCATCTTGCCCCAGCTACGCTGATTCTTTTGGGAAATATTCAGTTCTATCAGTTTCTTCTATAGTCTTCTGGATTTTTTTT